AAGTAAGTTAATTAAACTGAAAATTTACTTATTGAACGTATGATTTAAACGTCTTTTCACACCTTCGTCAATGATTATTGTATCATTTGCTTCTGAGACAAAACTACTGTGTATGCTCTGTTCTTGTCCTAATTCAGGCTTAGATGTAAAAAGAAGGCTGACAACTGCAACTATGTAGCGCATTATGTAACTTTCTTTATAAATTTAACAACTATGGATACGGAAAAGTGAAGGATGATTGGTAAGATATAGAGTAAGAATAGTTGCATTGCAAGTGATATTACAACAATAATCATTCCTTTTAGGTCAATTTTTGCTGGAATCGACAAGAAAGTATAATAAAGTCCCACAATAATTAGAGTACGAAGAATCACAAAGGGGTCCTTGAACAAAAATGTAAATCTTGTCTTTCTATCCAAAAGAAGCAGGTCTTGTAAAAGTCCCAGCATCAGAAATTCAACAAACAAAACCCCAGCACCATACAGGTATAAAATGTTGTAGTATATTGGTAGACTACCAGCAGGTGAAACATCTCCAATGAGACTTGACATTACACCACATGTGTATGCATAGAATACAATTTTGAAGAACAAAAGACAGTATCCTATAGTAAGAAGGGGGTTGTACTTATAATAATTCTCATGATTGATCAGTAAATAGGCCAGTAGAACCACAATGCATAAAACACCAAGATACAGATTCAGTCCTGCGCTGCAATTGAAAAACTTGTACATTTTTACCATTAACGGACCAAAGGGCTCATCTTGTAACTCTGTCAGTACATTTTCTGGTATAACTGCACCACTAGAATCAGTAGCCATATTATATAAATCATCTAACTTTTCCGTAAAGTATTCTCCCCAAGTATTCATATTTTGAGGGGAACGAATCCACAAAATTTTAAAATCTAAAAAATATCATAAAAATTAAAAAAAACAAATAAAAAAATTCCTACACTTAGTGTTGATAAAGACTATCTAAGAGGTTGTAAGTAGATCGGATATATGTCTTTATGTGTTGTGATACATTCTCTTTTAAAGTTGACTGTCTATTAAACTACAGCTCATCAACGAACTTGGCATCTTTAAAATTTTATGCTTTATCAAAATGTCAAATCTACTAATGCATTTGACATTTTGATAGAAATGAGAGCCATGGAGGCAAGTTAACATGCATGCCAATATTACTCTCAATTATACAATAGACAATCATTGCCATGACTTAGTCTCAACTTATGGGATGTGATGTTCGTACTCATTATGCTTAAGTAAATATCAATATGTCATCAATTACTATTTATTCCTGTGTTCCTGCACATTTCACTCTCCTTAATGTACTCTTCTAACATTTCTATCTTCAAAATATTGCAGTTTCCAAATTTTTCAAACCCAACAATCTCATCTACAAAAAATCCATCCTTGAAGAATGCCAAAAACGGCAGAACCTTTATTTTCAACGAAGCACACATTTTGGGGCATTTTTCAACGTTAATGCATCCAAAATTCAGGCTTGGGAATTTCACAGAAACCTGTTTCAATGCTTCGTTCATTTTCTGGCACTTTTTGAAGGCAGGTGAGTAAAAATGCACAATTATCTTCCTTTCTGTCGTAAGATCAATCAGCTCTTCCTCGTCTGTGTATTCCTGAAAGTTTGAGAGTCTTTTCATAAGATTCTTTGTGTACGTCTTCATAAACTCATCATCAGAGTCGTCAAAGTCTGAGCTATCGTTGTTTGTTCTCGGCATCCTCACCATTTTGGGGATGCACAATAGATCGATGCAAGATCAGTAAGAAAGTATTGACAGGGAAGTAAATCTGCAGTAAAATGAGCCAAATGGAAGGATACATCAAGGCCGCCTCTAGAATCTACGTGACTGTTTTCAAGCTTATTTGCAGTACTAAATTGCATAATTGTATTCAGGCTAGCAAAACATTACTGGAATACTGTGCATAGGTGTCTTATTTCTAATATTGCTTTCCGCCTAATGGTTTTGAGTCACTTCTATTTTAACCCCAATGGAAGACAATAAAGAGGTACAATGCAATAAAAAAACACCAGCAGAGTTCATAAATAGCAAGGAGAACAACTCAAATCATCTTGTTGAGCATGGTCTTCCGCAAATAACCAATTCCCCTCTTCCGCCTGCCTTTGACATTCCTGAGTCTTACAATCAGCTGAACACAATTCTTTCCTACTACAGCCTTCCAAACATACAAGCCACTGAAGACTTTGAAGACAAAATGACAAAAGTAATTTTTATTCTCAAAAATGAATATTTGAATTTGCCTACCAACGAACAGGAGGATATTGTTGAAAAGCTGAAAATTATCAAAGACTACAAGAATTTAGAGGCTGAATGTGATGCCAGAGAGATTGAGTTGGCAAATATGAAGATTAGTGTGTCACAGAAGTACGGAAACAAGACTGCCGAAGAGCTCTCCCAGATATTAACAAGACTTAGGTCACATGGAGAGTTGAATGCGGAGTACGAACTAAACAAGAATACTATTCGAGGAATATATGATTTAGAACCAGGTGCCATGAAGAATCTTGCTTTCATAAAGGAGAATACATTTGGTGCATACGCCAAGCAAAGGGTTTTAGACAAGCTGAAAGGTCGAAACGAGGAATGGGCACGGGTTCTTTTCAAAATTGTAAAAGAGAACGAATGCAAGGTTGAGACGATAGGAAAAGAGCTGGAAATTGACAGAGTAAGCCTTCTGAGGATTATTTACAATTTCTGTGCAAAGGGAATATTAGAATATGACAGGCTGGAAGATTTCGTAAAGATTAAGGCAAACAAGCATTAAGCTTTTATAGAATGCAAACCCGAAGTATTCCTTGAAGGAGAAAGTTGTTTGCCATCTTTTATATTGCATGGTCCATATTTACTACAATTTGATGGCCAGCACAATAGAAATATGAACGGATAGACTGGCCCATTTGCCAATAAAATTTTATTAATAGGAAAAACCGCACTGACTTTTAATCATATCTTGGTCTAACTTCTTTTCCTTCACAGATTGTTCCATATCCTATCAATCTCCAGTTATTTTTGATTTTCCTAGAAATTGCAATCTTTTCGCCATGCTCACAGCAGCACGGCTTTAAAAGATCAAAAACTGCAACAGATTCATCTTGAAGCTCTATTAATTTACACCCAGTCGTTGTGCTGCCAATGTTCAGCAAAATAGACTCGTCTACCTTCAGGTTTTCCTTCGAGCCTGACACCGTCTTCTGGAATAGTGTGCATCTAACTGTTATCACACTGTAGACAGGCGGAAGTGTGCCCTTCAGACCCATCACCATGCCAACAATCCTATCCGACTTGCAGAAGCTTGGGTCGAGATTTGTGCCAACCCCAATCAGCCCTCCTGGATAGGCCTTGTCTAGTGCTGTTTTCTCTGCTTTAAGACTAGTAATATTCGTTACAAAAGGCTTACACACAAACTCGTCACCGTCTTTGTAGTAGTGTCCTGGTCGAATTTCTATCTCATCTCCTATTCCCAGCATTCCTGAAACCAGTGATCCGCCAATGACGCCACCATTCAAATCTTCTATCTTTGTACCTGGCTTGTTAACATCAAATGACCGTATGATAATCATCTTTGCCTTCTCATTTCTATCTCTTTTAGGTACCTCAATATAATTGACAATATAATCAAGAACGGCATCGATATTAATATTCAGTTGCCCAGAAACAGGCACGATTGGCCCCTCCACCTGTGATGTCTTAAGAAATTCTTTTATTTGGCCATACTGTTCGATGGCTTGCTCCTTCGTAACTAAATCTATCTTATTCTGGATAACAACTATTTTCTTAAGATTCATTACCTCAACGGCAAAGAGATGCTCTGTAGTCTGCGATTGAGGGCATGGCTCATTAGCAGCAACAAGAAGAAGCGCTGCATCCATGATCGCTGTTCCGGTGAGCATTGTTGCCATCAAGACATCGTGTCCTGGACAGTCAACAAAGCTGACATGTCGTACTAATTTTCTTTGGGTCGAACAGGTTCCGCATTTGCCTGCCACGCTTGAGTATTTTTGGGGTCTTGGACACTCACACTCATATATCTTTGCATTTGCATATCCCAATTTTATTGTAATGTTACGTTCTAATTCTGCCTTGTATTTTATTGTGCTTATCCCACTGATGCACTGTACGATGGTTGTTTTTCCATGAGCCACATGCCCTATTGTTCCGATGTTTATGGTGGCTTGTTTTTCAACTATTTTACATTCCTCTTCACACATACAAGGCTCAGAAAAATATGAAAATTTTTAAAAGATTTTTACAGTGCATAAAACTCAAGGAGGGTGTAATTTAAGATTAAATTTTACCAATTTAATATTTAATAGCCAGGTGCTATTTTGCAACAAACACTCCAAGTGCTAAGTTTATCAATCATAGCTGAAGCAAGGAGTTCTTTATTGCATAGTGTTTATGTATGGCTTATCTTTGTTGTATTCTCTGTGTATTCTTTTAATCTTCTTGTATATTTTCCTGATTTTACTTAACAGTTCTTTATTCGTTCCAAATCCACTGTTCACCAGTTCTTTTTGGACACTCTGGAAATACACCAGGGCGCTTTTGATTGGAATTTTGAGATTTTTGGCTGCCTTAGACACGTCCTTTTTGCTGAGCTTTAGATTGTGGCGGATCATAAACCTTTCCAAAGTTTCGATCTGCGAGTCGGTGAGAATTTTGCAATGGACAGTTTCATCCACCCATTCCTGTCCCCTCTCTTTCATGCAGCAAACATATATTAAAAATATATACACTTAATAAAAACATTTTGCATATAACAAGTAAATGACAGGTTGACTGTTCGCACTGCAGTAGCCGGTGAAGATATTGTGCTGTCTATTTAAAATAGGCCAACGTGTCCCAAGAATAATCAACCTAGGAGTGGATATTGAAGAGGCATAAATCCAGTCAAACATCTCAGAGCTAGCCAGTTTTTTGAAATTGGGGCCTTATAAAAGGACTGCCATTATGCTTCTCGACATTTCCGTTGGAAATAAACCTAACAAAGGGCATTCAGCTAATTACATGGCCATGTCTAGTGTACTTTTAACTCCCAATATCAATTCTTCTCCTAATGATACTCTCTTAATAATTCTCGGCAAATAACACTCAGCTCTATCAAATATTCATTCTTCTTTTCAAGCTCTACTTTCATTTCTGAAATAGCATAATTCAGTTCCTGAATTTTGGAATTCTTGCGCTTTATTTGGAAATTTAGTTCTTCAATTTCATTCTTCAAGCTGTCCACTATCTGCTCTTTATGGATTATTTCATTCTCCGCCTTCTCCTCACAGAGGAGCAAGTCTCTTTTCAATGCTTGGATGTGTGATTTTAATCTTTGTTCATTACTTCTTAGTTTTTCCAGCTCAACAATGGCATTTTTTGTCGTAGTGCCTTTGCTACAATCTCTACTCAGATTACTAGCAAGGGATAATGCCTCAAATGTGTTTTCGTAATCGTTTATCACTGATTGACTTTCCTCATTCATTCTTTTTAGCTTTTTTATTATTTCGGTCTGGTTGAATATCTCCATCTGAAGTGAATCGTACTCGCTCTTCTTGATACAGATGGCCTCCTTGCCGTCTGACCATTTGGGAGAGCTGTCTATTGGATTTGTAAGTGTTTCTGGAACATCCTCGTCGTTCTTTCTTGTAAATGCACCTTTGAGAAACTTAAGGATTTTATTTGGAGTGCTCATTTCCCACTTAGGGTTTGAAATGTGCGGATATTTAATAAAAATAAACAACCTTGTCTGTTGGATGGCTTATCTAGACGAGCACAGCCACCTCCACATAGTCTATCAAATATTGCAGCTTTTTTATTTCTGATATTACCCATCTTGACTCTATTTGCACAGGACAAATAGATCGTGGTTATAGGTTTTCTATTTTCAATAAACGTGTCTGGCTAGTTTAATAAATGTCCTTTGATGTGTCCAAGTATCTCTTTTATTTCTTAAAAATTTTTCCAGCCAAATTTTGCATGGCTGAAAAAAGAATTGTGATCCTGGGAGACTCTCCTGCAACATATACCTGTGCAATTTATCTCTTCACTGCCAATATAAGGCACTTGGTCATTCGTCATAGTTTTGCCTTGGACTACAAATGTACTTTTGTGCCGGGATTAGATGCAACTAGAGACGAGTATAACCAGAAGTGCTATGAACAGGCAAAAAATATGGGAGTTGAGATAGCAGAGTCTAATAATAAGTGCACAGTTACAACAGAAAATGGGAAGTTTCTTATAAAATACGACTCCAACACGATTCTGGCTGACTTTCTCGTTTCTGATGTGGATCTTGACTTAGGAAACGACAAGAATCTGTTTGTGGTCGAAAACAAGCTGCCTGAAAGAGAGGCCATTGTTGTTGCTGGTGTTGGGTGCATGATTGCATTTGAAATTAAGGAGGCCGTTCACTAAATAGAAACTGTATTCAAATAGCTTGCCAATATTCTGTTAAAATACTATTATATTAATTATAAAATCTCAAAAGCGTGCATAGATTGCATATTTAACTGTAAGAATACGGCACAGTTCATACAAATCAGCTATTGGCTGGTGATTTATTTTTTACACTATTTTTGCATTTCTTTAATAAAATTTTTAACAGATTCATGTATTCTCTCTTCTCCCACAATCATTCTTTTCACTTCGTCCCTGTAAATTAATCCTCCCTTTGATTCAACATACCTTAGCACGCGATGGAAATCGCTCAAATGTATGAAATCGTGGTACAAATACCCATTCCTGGCTCTGATCCTGTGCTGTCTATGCTCCCAAATGCTAATCTGATTAACAATGTTTTTTGGCACCTCCTCACTGTGTTCCTGTAAATATTTGATAATTTGCTTGGCAGTTATACCCTTATTAAAGGCCGAAAGTAGTGACTCTTCATCGAAACATGCCTTAATCAAGTTCGGAAAGACATAGACCGTCTTACTAAAGAGTGAAAGCACGCTTTTGTCATATGCAGTACTTGTGTATGCATATATCTTGAAGTTTGTTTCCAGAACTATGAACTTGTTTGAAGCCTTGTTGATCGGTATATTTGGTTTGGTATAATCAATATCATAGATATCGTCTATGCCAGCTGTGCCATGGTGTGTCATGGCTGAGTCTGCCAGTGGCACTTTGTCGTACAGTACGGAATTATTAACGTAAAACACTAGATTATTGTCTTGACTAATCACGAAAAGTACCCCGATCGAATCCAGAAATGAATGCCAGCTTGAAAAACTACTGCAGATATATGGTCCACACCTCCTTTTCATCAAAATTTCAGCTAGGCTTATAAACATTTCCGACTCCTCCAATGAATCCCTGCTGTGGTACTTAATTGCGTTGACAATCAAAAACCACAGCTGGTCTTTTCGTGCAAGCAAAAGAAACTCAAATCCCTTGTTGGTTATTTGTTGTAAAGTGTCTTTTAACTCGCAGTAAAATAAAATGTCTTGGACTCCAGCGAGATTAATGCTTGAATCGGAGGCTATATACTCCAAAATTGAGTGAATCTTCTCCTCGGCAATCTTTTCTAATTTACTATTAGCATTTCCACTATCTAAGCACTCTAATTTCAGATTTATACTTTTCAAGTCATTAATACTAATAGGTTTAAACTTTCTGTCAAAGTGGTTCAGACAAAAGGACTCGAGTAAAGACGAACGATACTCCGAATCCAAGGATATTTTGCTGTCTATTTTCCTGATTAGTCCCAGAGAAAGCAATGTGCCAAGGCTTTCCTTGACGTTTGGAAGTGCTTTAATCGTATTTAAATCTAAATTCAATCTGAGGAGATCAAAGAGAAGGGCTGATGTGTCCTTATCCAGCACTCTAAGAATGCAAACAGAAAACAATGGGTCCCGATAGAGTGATTTTAGATCTTTTAGGCCTTGGATGAAATTAATTACGGGTTGTGAAATGCCCATATTCACTTGAGGGTGGGAGAAAAGATAAATTTTGAAAGCTCAAAATACCTGGTGTGCTTTCAGTTGGAAAATAGATAACGGAAAATGAGTTGCCACCTGCATGTATAACAGTACCCTCCACATCCCACCAATGCATTGTATGTATATAAAGTATTAAATATATTAATACATTGGCTAGTGAAATATACTATAAATTAAATCTCTCATTAAGTTTCTACAATATCCATCCTTAAAATAACAAACTAATGCTTTATTAACTTGGTTAGCTCTTTTACACCATCTCTTGCATCTTCATATGATCCCTTAATGACTGATCGTACAATCAAATTATTCTCACTTTCTAGCTGCGACTTTCCATTCATTCTGACAAACAAAGTCTTCTTGTCAGTCTCCACGTTCTCATCCCGGTCTCTAAGCAATATCACTGCATTCGCCATTTTCATATGCATTTGATGAACATCTCTTAGATCCCCTTCGTTTGCAATAACAAGTAGGATAAGGCTAGTTCCATTGAAATGCACCAAGTTCTCAGAAAAGGAGATGTCTCTTAGTTTAATGTTGAATACTTTCTCACAAAATATTCTCTTATCCTCCATGGATCCTGTGATGTAAATTGTGTACTTTTGATTTGGACAGCAGCAATTCAAAGGGTTACTCATGGGTAAGCAAGTAGACTAAAATAAAAGAATAAGGATTGAATACCCATCTTTGCTAAAAGATCAAACAAGAAAGCTAGTAAATGCAGTAAGACATGCAAATAATCTAGTGAGCCTGTTCTAAAGAAATCCATCAAAGAAGTAAGAAATTATAGAAATAATAATAAATAGCGAGAATGCGTATTAAAAATACTAATTTACTTGGAAATGCATATTACTGTCATCCATAGCTCTCCCCCTCCAATCGTACCTCCTCCTTTAGCTCCTTGCAGCTTCTTATTAATTCCTCAAGTCCCATCTTTAGCACCTGGATAGGATCAAGCGTTATTGTCTCAACATTAAAACAAAACCATCCACTCTCTCGCAGTATTTTTACTGAATCTTTGAATTTTTCGTGCCTCAGGGCCTCTCTGCTCATACTTTCTAATCTTGGATTTGCAACAACTGCCTTGTTGTTGATGATCTCAATGACACCTGGACTAAAGCATGCCTGAAGCTCTTTTGCATCCTCTCCGTAAAAGTCCTTCTCTAAAATTATCTTTGGCATTATTCGGTAGGAGCATAGAGAAACTGGACTCCACTTGGCATGCTGCTCTCCTCTTCCTTTTATTGCCTTGAAAGTCATCTCAACCTGATTCCCAGGTACCATTTTACAGACTAATACATTTGGCTTAAAGCGGAAGCTAAAATGATCTTGTCCTTCAGCAGGTACAAACTCAATATCATCCGACATCAGGTTTACAGGCTCTTTGTCGGCTGTTTTATCTATCCTAAAATTAAGAACATTCTCAAAAGTTTCTTCGTCCTTGAAATAACTGAAATATTCAGGATTGGCTTCAAGTGGAATAAGTCCAAGTCTGTGGGCTATGTACTCATCAGGAAAGACTGTATTGTTTTCATACACAGACACGTAATGTATTGCCATTGTGGGGACTTTTGAGATGAGGATTCTTCTTAGAGTATTAGCAATCGAGGGATGGCAGTTAAGAATATCAAATTCTATTGAGCTAGCGGTTTTTGATATGATTTTGAGCTGAAGATTGTTTATGAACTCGTCCAAACTCGCATTTGAGATTTCGAAGTCCTTTACTGTTGCCTCGGCTTCTACTCTGTACATGCGAAAATTTTTGGGCTGTAAAAAGCTGAACAAAGCCTTTTCAGTATGCTATTCTACAGTCCAAAATCATAAATATCGATGGCATGAGCATCCTCAATATTTAACCAGACATAACCAACAGTAGGTAGTTCATGGATATTTTGGTGCATAACGTAATCCAAATCAACGACCTTGCTATTATCAACTGCATAGGAAATGTCACTTGAATAAGGTGCATAAGTTCCCTTACATGCATCTTCAACTTCAACTCGTTCTTCACCCATGGGAAATATTCAGAATTCACCATATTTGCTTCAAAAAGTGCTATTTATCCAAAAATATTCTCAAAAGGCCCACGTAACACACTCGAGCATTTCCTCGTCCTCAATTTCAGTTTGCCTACCAAATCTTTGTGACACCGAGTTTGGGATTGAGAGCAAGGATCTTTCTGATCTAATGAGAAGCACCACGGAGTTTGTAATTGAAGATGGCGTTCTAAAGTACAGCTTTGAAAGTACTGTTGGTGATAAGATGGCTAAAATTTGTAAGAAGATTGAACTTATAAGCTTAAATTACACATTTGAATTTGAAAATCCGATATTAACTGCAAAAGTTCCCATATTCAAGTGCATATCAATAGACAATACCTTTATAATCTTTTCAAAAAACAAGTTGCTACTCCAGACAAGTGGATATGTCAAGACAAGAAATGTTCTTGATGCACAGAGGGTTGATGGGGTTGACTGTTTTGAGATATGTGTTTCTGGAAAAGACCTGAAAATAGTAGAAGAGCTTGGCACGGACTTAGTCCTGTGCTGCTATCAAAACTGCATAGTTGTATTTAGCTTTGAAAACGATATTAGCACTGCTGTAGTGGTGAGAAATGTCTGAAGGTATTGCTGAATGGAATATTTGTATTGCTATTATTGCTACTCATATGGCATGTAAATGTATTTATATTTCTGCAATCAACTGGTTTAGGCTATAGCTGTCTTGCATTAAAAGCAAGACGATATGTAATAGATGTGAGTATTGATTAAATTTAGTGAGAATCCAATCGACAAAGTTTCAGTATATAAGATAAGTTCGCTCAAAATAAAGCCAGAACTAACATGCATGATGTTTTGAAGCGTACTTGATATGCCTAAATCCCGCCAGTTGTTTAGACTAAGCTTCGGAGACTAAAGTTCACAAAGCCAACCAACCGATAAATCAAATACAGCCAATATGTAGCTATTTAAGCACATCTGAGCTCTATTAATATTTGGTTGTTTTTTAATTTTTCTTTTATTTTTCTTTTCTTTAAAAATTTTCTCCTTTTGGTTTAAAAAATTTTAGAAAAGGAGGGGCATGAGCACTTTGTCGAAAGTCGGCAGGACGCTTGAATATGGGTTCTACGGTGCAGTTGGAATCTATACATTCAAAGTTATTGTTGCTCTGATTTTTGGATACATCTTGTATACTCCGGAATACGCGGGTCCGGCATATTTTCGCTGGAGAAAGGACTATTGTGATCCGGATGCATCGAGAGCTATGTATGCGTACATTGACCCAAACACAGAAGATAAGACTGAGCTTTTCAGCTTCTTCTCTTCGGCAGTTCAACCAATCTACAATCCTAAACTGTATAGTGGAGAGTTGAAAGAGTTAGAATATATTATAAAAAATTACGAGAATTCATGGTGGAACAAAAATACATTCGAGTGGGCCAAGACAAGACTGGAGCAGCTCAAGGAGGAAATCAAGCCGCAAACGCTAGTTACTGAGGAGAATACTACTCCTTTGTACTTTGTTGGAAGCTTCACTGATACTTTTGTTATTAAGCCAAGGAAAACATTTAAAATATTTGCTATTAATAATAATGGAGAGCCATACAACAAAAATGCTTTGGATGCAGAAATCAATTTCTTGTCATTTAGATACGTGTATCTTCGCTACATCTCAGACCTGAGGGCTAAGGAGGAAAGAAATGCTCAGGGTAAGATGGTACTACAAGCTCCTAAGAACTATGTTGCCATCACCAAGGAGCAGGTGAGAAAATTCTTCAAAAATAACCAAGAGGTTGTTACTACAGGAGTTGAGAATGGTAAGCCATGTATTTCCCATATTAACGGTAAGAAGTTGGAGAAGCCAATTATTCTATCGGAGAAGCAGTTTGCAGGATACAAGAAATATGTGGATGTTTACGAATCCTTCATGAAGCTTGTGGCTTACTTGGAAGATGAAAGTAAAGAGCCTATCGTTAGTTTCGTGGACGATAAGGTTCAATGTAGTGTTGAATTCTACAGTATTGTTGAAGAGATCATCAAGCAGTTGGAACTTGAGTCCTTATTCATCAAGGAGGGAAATATGCCCACCCCTGAGGAGCTAAGAACCCAGTTCAACTTGTTTTTGAATAGGCTTGCGTTATTGAAGCCGCATGCCTTCGATGTTCATATTCTCAACAGGCTCTACTATTATTATTTGTTTGCTGTGTCTTACTTTGAACCATCTAGTAATCCCCAGAATGGAGATAGTAAGTACAATGAACTGAAGACCAAGATTAATGGAATAGTAGAGGATATTGAAGAAGAGATCAAGAAATCAACTAATGTCAGGGATCTTGTTGTTAAGAGGGATGTCTATAAGGAGAAATTAACGAAGAGAAGAGTAGAGCTTATCTTCAATTATTTCTCGTTGCTTATTGCCAGCAAGCTTGGAAATAAAGGATTTGTTCTTAAGAGTGAGGACGAAAACAGGAACATAATTGCAAGGCTTCTTGGATGCTACCCAGGAGTATATGGGGAGGGCGATGCAGAAAGGCTTCATGTCCATTTCGAAGAATACCAAGGCACTGAGTAAGCAATAAATTAATTCGAAAGAGGTTGTTTGCTAATTTACATAGTGTTTACATTAAGACCATGCTTTGGAAATGTAGGATTTAATTGATGTGCAGTAGCATAAAATGCGACTAGTTTTCTGGATGTTTGCATTGTTCTAATAGTTCTTTCAGCACTTCTATAAACTTAGCCCTGTCGTAGAATGATTCCTTAATCTTAGATATTACTTCTTCTAAATTGTATTTGTCTCCAAAGCCTATTGTTCGTTTGTGTCTCCACACACTCTCAAGCTCCAGAATCCTTTTATTGAGAGTCTCATATCCCAATGAAAGCTGAATGTCCTTGTGAAACTTTTCTTTTGTGAAATTTTTAAGCTCAGCTTTTAGCTTTTGTGAGATTCTCATGTTTAATAGCTCATTTATGAGATAATACAGAGTTATTCTATGATGGATACTTGAAACATGATGAGTGTACTCTATTCCTTCTTTGATAGTCCCAAAATCATCCTCAAAGGCTTTTAAATACAGAGCTAAAGACTTGAGATGCTCTTCTGTAGGTCTGAGAAAGAAGAGCTGGGTAAGGAAATGGTCTTTTTGTAGGGCCATGGGTGTAAAACTTTTGTTGTATAAAAGATATTTATACACTATGGAGTCATAGAGCCACATTGACTAACAGTGCATATAACCCAACCAACATCCATCATACTAAATGCTTCTACCATTTAACCATCTAAGTTAAAATTTCCTGGCACGTGTGCATCTTCATTTTATATATAAACAGCCTATGCCCGTAAGCAATTAATATGTTTCATGATTTTGTGGTCTAAAACTATTTAATACGCCCATTTGTAAAAATTTTGAACCCCAATGGGAACAAAGGGAGAGCTCTATTTTCCAATCAATACCCAAATAACAGACCCTATCCAAGCTACCACCTACACGCTTAGAAAACTCATAGGTAGGGGCGCATATGCGCAATGTTTCCTGGCCACAATAGAAACAGGTGAGAACTTTGCCATGAAAATCATCAAATTGACAGACTTGAAGAGCGAGAAGGTCCTACAAAAACTTCAGAGTGAAATAAGCATTCATTCGTCCTTGGACCATCCAAATGTTGTCAAAATGTATACAAGTTTTAGGAATTCGGAGTACGTCTTTATGGTTCTGGAGCTGTGCGAGCGTGGTGCTTTGGATGAACTATTGAAAAGAAATGGAAAATTAAAAGAGAAATATGTTTCTAAGTTTGTATCGCAGTTGGTAAAGGGGCTAATGTATCTACATCATCAGAAAAGTGTGGTGCATAGGGATTTAAAACTGGCCAATCTTTTCTTAGACGGAAATCTAAACCTGAAAATAGGGGACTTTGGATTGAGCGCTATTATTAGGAATGGGGAAAAAAGAAAGACTGTCTGTGGCACTCCAAATTACATAGCACCAGAGGTACTATTCGGTAAGGCAGGTGGCCATTCATTTGAGGCTGATATCTGGTCACTGGGTGTCATTATCTACACCTTGCTCGTAGGAGTACCACCCTTCCAACAGAAAGATATAGAAGAGATATACCGACTTATAGAGCTTAACAAGTACATATTCCCTGAGGACAGTCTATTGAGCAGCGAGGCAATTGACTTAATTACTAGGATTTTGATTAGCAATCCACGGGAAAGACCTGATCTTGAGCAGATTTTGCATCACAAATTTTTGACACAAAGAGAAAACTTAACCTATCGAATTTACAAGAATTTAGAGAGTCGAGCATACGCGACTGGGGCATTTTGCGACGAGCATGTCATATTCTCCATGCCCATCAACTCCTTTAAAGGTGTGGGGTATGTCTTAAAGTCGGGTGTGTGTGGGATATACTACCAAAACCTTATTAATGTGTATTTAAAAACCAATACTTTAGTTTTGGTTAAAACAATGAATGAAAATGGAAGGAAAGTGTTTGTCACAGAAGAGCATCTCATTGAAAGTATGCCTAAATCATTGGAGCAGTATCACGGTCACATTCTTTATTTTATTACTCATTTTGCCTCCATTTCGTGTAGAACGGTGTTGAGCTCGGCAGCTAATAGGAACTCGGCAGTCTTCGTAGCAAAAGTAAAGAAAATCAAAGATGGATTGCTTTTCATTATGACTAATTTTGTATTTGTATTTGATTTTAATGATGGCACAAAGGTCTCAATAGGACATGATGGAACAAGGATACATTGTTTTAATGATGATGGCCCGGTTGAGTTTACAAAGCCTTTGCAGATGGCATGTTTAGAAGTGTTGAAAGCATCGTGTTCTTTGCAACGCAATTAATATGCAGTTTAATATTCACTGAAGAATATTTAAATAAATAATAAAAGGAAAGATCGTAGAGGATAAAAGACCTTCCAGACAATAAATTGCATGTAGAAGTCGGATGTATTTGTTTTTATTAACCCTTATTAGATCAACTGAGTACTTTTCCATGCTGAAATTTTAAATAGTAATTTTCTGCAATGGATCTCAACAAACCCTGTCTTCTCAGTGTCAATTTACTTTATATTTCCTTCAATTGTTGGCAGCATTCCAACATAAATTGCTTTTATCAAGACGTAAATACTGTTTATTACTTAATTACGCCATGTAACCTCCACTGAATCCGTCCTAAATCTCTGTGTTACATCGCAATCCTCAATCTCAACTTGCTGTCCACTCTGATACATTAACAGTCCAGTATACGCAATCATGGCACCATTGTCAATACAGAATCTCTCATCTGTCGCATGAAGCACTCCTCCTCTTGCTTGTACCATTATGTTCATCATTTCTTGTAATCTCTCATTACATCCAACACCTCCAACTATCAGTACTTCCTTTGATCCAACAAATGACATACATCTTTCCGTTCCCTCAATTAAGATGCTGAACATTGTCTCCTGTGCTGAATAGCACAAATCTTCGACACTATGCCTCCCAACAAGCTTCTTTAACTGTGATAATATTCCACTGAAGCACATATCCATCCCCTTTATCGTATAAGGCAGTTCTATGTAGCTTCTGCCCTCTCTTGCCTTTTTTTCTATTGACAACCCTGGAGAAGGATAGTTATCAAGGTTTAATACTCTTGCTAGTTTATCTAGACAATTACCCACGGCTACGTCAAGCGTCTCTCCAAATATCTTATATCTCTTCTCTGAGTATGCTATTATTTGTGTATTGCCTCCACTTACGTATAGTATAACGGGATTGTCCGCATTGGTGACCAGTCTTCCCATTTCAATGTGTGCAATACAATGATTCACGGGTATGATCGGTTTGTTGTGCATTAAGGCCAATGTCCTAATAGCCGTGGCTACTACCACAAGTGACTGCTGTATTCCAGGCCCACGTGTGTATGCGAATGCATCTACTTGCTCTAGTGAAATGCAGGCAGCTCTAAGTGAGTCTTCAACTAGCTGTAGGATCTGTTCTCTGTGGTGTTCTGCAGCCTTGGCAGGAATGAAACCTTCTCCTGCTGGTGGCACGTACGTTTTTCTCAGATTTGCAAGAATTTCCTTGTCTCTAACAATCCCTACTCCCAGCTTATTTGCACTTCCTTCAATTCCCAGCACAATCATGAGAGCAGCCAGGAGAATTGGGATTTTGATAAATTGTAGCCTACAAATAAGGGTATATATAGTCTGCTTTATAGACAAGTTGGCCGAGTGGTTAAGGCGTCAGTCTAGAAAACTGATACGGTCTCCGTTCACAGGTTCGAATCCTGTACTTGTCGGTCGGTTTTGTTTTGTGCTTGCTGGTAAGGATCAGGCTTTGGGTTAAATTTACTTATAAATCGCAACCACGCCTGGCCTAAGACAAGCATTAACAACAAGTTTTTTCTACTTTGTCAGCATCTTTAAAGCATGTTCTTTCACACAAGAATAAACAGAGAGCTTTTGTTTTAAACTGTTTACGTTTTAAAATATATTAGAAAGGCGTATAAAATAAATTGGAAATTCAATGAACACAGTCAATAAAATTGTTGAAATTTTTCAGGTATTAAAGACCAGTATTGAAGATGATATGTCAATTTATGAGCTGGTCATAAAAATGAAAAGAGAATACTCAAATGCTTTAAATAAGAATACTGAAAGACTGATGTCTAAGAACAGAGCGAGTTCAGGTTTATTAATTTATACTTCTTTGAAGTTCGTACAGGAAGAGTGGAGTCAGTCAGAAATCATCTGTACATTCCTACAGAGCAATCCATTAGATTCTTCTAAAATTTTACATCAAAAAATTTGTGGGGATCTCCGAAAATTTCAGGAAAATTTGAAAAATTTTTATGACCAAGACAAAGCGCTCTGTGAAAACATACACAAAGAGCAATGTAGAAATGCCAATGATACTAATGCAAGCGGCTTGAAAGAGCAACTCAGTCTACTGTCTATTGAAGAACAAAGAAATGAGCTAATTTTGCAGAATTTGCCAGCACTAAAAGCCAACATTGAAATGGCAGTTAAATCCATAAATGAATGCATCTCAGCCTTGGACAACGAATATAAAAGACTGCATTTGTTTGTGAATAATCTGTTGAAGAATCAGCAGTCAAAATTTGAATATCCAAGCTTGGCTTTAGACAAGTGGGACAATATTAATTTCCAAAAATTCAAAACCTTACTCGAAAATGAACTTAAAATAGATGATGCGTGCAGAGCCAAGCCACAGTACATTTTGAAAGAGGATGTTAGAATCAAGGAAGGATGGGGAAGCTGGGAGTGTGGAGTGTTTATTCTCTATCCCAGAAGCATAGTTATCACAGAAACAGGTGATGTAGACGATATGAAAACAGCAACAGGCAATGTGAGGGAATATAAACTGGCCATAACAGACATGTCACCAATTGGAACACTCACTTTAAAACTCACTTGCAAGAATCAAGGTGTCATTTCATATTTATTGGGCTTGAACTTGACAATAGTAGAGTTTTCATCACAGAGCTCTAGAGACAGGGTAATTGGACATCTAAACTCAACAGTGGCATAAATGAGTGCAACTTCACCTTTCCGGTATCAAAGATTATGCATTAAAGTCAAAGTGTAGACATCTATTTGCTAGTTAAGCTTAATTTGGCTAAATCTGTAAATCAATTCTTAATGAAATATTAAACAGATTATTACATATCTTCCATCTTTGTAATGGTTTGTTATCATAAAAAATAGTCTTGCCACATTCTTTACAATTCAATGGGATCATTCTATAAAGGTTTGTATTACAACAGAGCTGTGATTTCCTGTTTCATTATACTTTGCCATGCATCCAAAATTCACCAATTTGAATTTGCATCTTTATTTTCTATTGCTCGTTTCATACTTCAGCAAATCATTTGCTCGTGTGTTAAAATTTTCACACAAATTTTCATTCCTCAACTTTGTATTGGTTTCTTATTATGTTTCTAACCTAGAAAAAAGATTAAATAAAAAATTCACAACAGCCCCTGATGAGAAATAACAAAGCACCTCCTTTAAATAAGAATTTAACCAAGCCACTAGCAGCAGCATTCTACGGTACAGCAGGGTATAGATTGAACACTCCTGATCTCAACAACGTGGTCTGCAGAGCTAGTCTTATATCATGCATCAGGAGTGCAACCTTTGCCGGGAAGTTTATTGGTCTTTACATAACGGCGTCACACAATCCAATAGAATACAATGGTGTCAAATTCATCGATTTCAATGGGAATATGCTTGATGAAACTTGGGAGATTGCTTCCGATGAACTGGTAAACTGTCATGATCAAGATTTTAATTCCATTATCAACAAAATATTCAGACAAAACAGCAATTTCACTGGTATAAGCAATTCAATTAGAGGAAACGTCATTATAGGAAGAGATACGCGAGAATCAGGCATTCAGCTCACAAAGAATATAAAAGAGGTTCTTGAGAGTTATAGGTGTAATGTATTTGACTATGGACTTGTTTCCTGTCCTGAAATGCATTTTTTAATAAGAAAATGCAATGAGAGTAACAAGATTATTGAGAAATCGGTATACGTAGACCATCTTTACAATGACTTCCTAAATTTGAGAAAACTGACAGGTGCCGATATGGGGTTTGGTATTGATACTGCCAATGGTGTTGGAACAACTAAGATGAATGAGATTCTGGAAAAAGATAAAGACTTCAGTGTAGAAATATTAAATGATCCAAAGCATGGTGTTTTGAATAAGGAATGTGGTGCAGACTTTGTCAAGGTGCACAGGATAGCACCCAAGTTGAAAAAGACGGATTATGCATTGTGTGCTTCTTTTGATGGTGATGTGGACAGGCTGATACTTTATACTCAGGAGTCTAAAATATTAGATGGAGATGCACAGTGTGTATTCATTGCTGAACTAATCAAAAAGGAACTTGAAAGGGAAAATCTTACTCCTGAAATAGGAATTGTTCTAAGCCATTATTCAAATATGGGAGCTATGAACTACTTGAGAAATAGTGGTTTTAAGGTTGTATTGGCACAGACAGGTGTTAAGAATTTTGTAAAAGAGGCTAGGAAATATGATGTTGGAGTATACTTTGAACCTAACGGCCATGGCTCTGTAGTGTTTTCAAAGAGACTTCTGGAAAAGACTGAGTCTCTACCCAATACGTCCATTTTGAAAATTCTTACGCAGATGTTCGATCCTTGTGTTGGGGATGCTTTGGCAAATTTCCTCGTCCTAAAGGCTACCCTTAGATCCCTAAGTGATCTTACTAAGTACAAAGAGAATTGTTCAAGACAATTAACAGTTAAAATCAAGGATAAGAATGTGATTAAGGTGGATCAAGACAATTGTGTTCTTGAGCCTGATATTCAAAAGAAGATTGATGAGCAAGTTTTGAGATTCAAGGGTCGGGCCTTTGTACGTCCTTCTGGAACAGAAGATCTTGTAAGAGTGTTTGCCGAATGCCCTGATCAGATGAATTGTGATAAGCTAGCCTTGAATGTAGCAGAAATTGTTTACGACAATTGCGAAGGTGTTGGACCGCATCCTGAGATTGTGTATTTCAACGATTAAACATCATATTGCACTATCCTTTTTATTTTAGCATTTAGTTACTTATGCTTAAATCACTCTCATAAATACTACAATAATTGTTTAAAGAACAGATAGCACTATGCTAATAGTGTGCGTTTTTATTCTTAGAAGCGACAGATTGTGCTAATGTTGTCATCTCTCTTCTACCCCATATCCAAACAATGTCAGATACAGAATGCCACATTTGTTGTGAGAAGTATCTTTATTTAGCTAAATACAGATGTAGTCATAAAATATGCTACAAATGTGCAACAAGGCTTATTTATCTTTACGGAGATATGCGATGTCCAATGTGCAAGTACGAGAGCCAAAAGCCTATTTTTGAGAAATCAAGTTGTGAGGAATCCGTAAATGAGAAATGCTGTTGGAGTAACAAAGAGAATGATGGCAAAATCGAGAATTCAAGCAGTGAAAAGACGACGAATCTTATGCTTGCTTCGACAGATGAGCTTTCAATGTCATTAAAAACCATTAATCTCGACAGACCAAAAAATGACGATGGCAGTATTCTAAACAATGATTTGACTGCACAAATGTGGAATAAGCATTTGATGATAGAGGATGGGTTTGCTAAGTTTAAAAATGACGAAGTTCATCAAAAAGTCAGAAGCTTATTGCTGATCAAATGTAAAGAGTGCAGACAGCAGTTTAACACTAAAAAAGAGCTTATGACACATTTTAAATCCAAGCACTCTTCTCTGCTTTGTGGCACCTGTCTTGAAAATAACCATCAATTCTGGTATGAATATTTTTCATATACTCCTGAAACACTAAGCTTGCATAGGAAAGGCCAGCTAAAGGAATCAGGATTTGATGGGCATGTGCACTGTCCATTCTGCTCATTTTGGATATACAATAAGGACCTGGCTAAGAAGCACTGCAACGAGGAACATCAGCTATGCACTGTCTGTGACTCTATGGGTGTTAAATTTCAGTTCTACAGAAACTTCTCTGAACTTGAGACTCATTTCAGGAGTAAGCATTACTGCTGTGACAACCCCGTTTGTGTTAAAAATCATTGCTATGTCTATGCCTATAAGAGCGAGATCTGTGCCCACTCTTTGGCACACCATGGCCTGGAAATGCAACTGAATGATGTTTGTCTGAAGAATGAAAAAAACCCAACAGTATTTTCCCTGCATGATTCAAGAGCACGCAGCGAGGAGGAGAGTTTGTACACCAGAGGAGTGAATATACTTAATCCTCTGATTAATGAGCCATTTTTTCCATCATTCAATCAGAGCAATATTTCAAGGGATAGTTCTTCAGTTCCTTCCTTCCTTAATCGTCAGATTGTCCATCAGGCACAGACCATAAATTCACAAAGAGTGAACATACTCAAAGATATTTCCCCCAACTTTTATAATGAGATATCCCAGATTATAGAAAAATATATTTCGGGTATAAAGCCGCTCACGGAAATGATAGCTGAAATTGAAGAGTGTGTAGGAAAGGAGACATGTCTTAGAATTATTGGAAGAGTCCCTTTTTTACAAAAGCAAAAGGAAATATCACAGTTTTCGGTGGAATACAAAAAAGAACTCAAGTTTCCTAGTTTTAAGAAGAGCATCCCGAAGGTAGATGAAGCACCACAACAACCAAATAAAAGGCAAAGTTTCAGGGTGATAGACCTAACTAAAAAATGATAACTGGCAATAAATTACATAAAATACTCTTAGAAACTCTAAGTTTGTTATTACTATCGTGCTATCATTTGACTGTTAGTAGATATGTGTATACTTCTATTTAGGTATAGGACATGCTTTATTTATTATGTGGACTGTAACGGGCTTAGTTTTCTTTTGTTTCTGACCCCAACAATGCTCAGCCTTTTATTTGGATTGGTTTCCTGCCTGATAGAAGAACTTCATCCTAAAAACAACTATGGAGTCTGGAGCTATGTTCTAAGCGAGGCAAACACTGTTCACTTCATACAATCGGAAGCCAAAGAGCGTATTGGTAGCTTCTTTCAGACCATTAATGATAGATCTATGTACACTCGAGTGAAGGTTTACAAGGGAGAGCCAAACAATCTGAAGGCGCTACTCTACCAGGACGAGAAATCCTCTGAGATGAATACGTTTTTCTTTACTACACCCGAGAGAGATTCATACTACATTCTTCTTGAATTAGTTATTGAAGATGAAGACAATGCCAAGAAGACCTTTGGCTTGGATGTGAAGGTATTTTCCGGAGAAGCCAATAGACCAAGTATAGTGTCTACGAACGATGTTGAGGTTTCCCGGGCTGAGAATCTCATTGAACGTGTGCTTGAATTTGTTAAGCAGAATATTGCTATTCAGGGAATGGATGAGGAGGATGAGTTGGTGTACAAAAGGTTATATGAAAAGATAATGAAGAAGGTGGTCTATGTATTGTTTTTAAAGATTATTGCGACAATATTTACAATGTACTATTCAAATAAAAAGACAAAGAGCTTTTATGCTTCACAAGGATTAGGATCTGATAAATAATTAAATATGCATTTATTGGAAAGCTACTACACTACTCTTTGATCTGCTGCTTTGTTTTGTATTTTGTTGTAAAATTGATCTAAAGCATTTGAAACATTGTTCGTTTGCTTCACTTCTTTTATCTGATTCGTAACTAGCTGTTATTGGTGCTGCAACTTGGCCTATGCCTTGCAGACATTGCACTGCAGTGTTTTCTTGTGGTTGTTATTTGCCCTTTCTTTTCATTGGGCTATTTGCTTTTTAATATAATTTAGCTCCTTTAATACTATCAATGAAAACAAGAATATCAATTTATTGATCCATTTTAAGGGGGTAAACATATATATTCGAAGAAATTCGTTCCCCTATGTTCATTAACTTGACCATACTCTTCACTGCAGCCCACTGCTTCCTCTTTTCAAAGAAGTCTAATTCTTCACCATCAGGCAAGAAATCATCTGGTCTTTCATCATCCACTCAGTCCAGTGCAAATCCAAGCATGGGTGCCTCATCAAATCATTAAATAGATAGATGATTATGCAACTGTGTGTTAATTTTATGTAAATCACCGTTATATAGTATAGTTATATTATCGTGGACACTTAAAAAGGATCTAACAGTATGGGCATTTGACTGAAAACCGATAAATACAGCTACTCTTTCGTTAGCTACATAAGCTCTTTAAATAAAAAGTATACTTCCTTTCATTTGCTAAATGCAACTTTAGCTTCTAAAGCTTGGGCAACTAGTGAAAGGGTAGTTGGCTTTTACATAAAGTAAGATGCTGTGTTATTCATTAAAAGTACGGTTAAATTTAATACGCTTGACTAGTAGTTGGCGCTCTTTCTAAAACCTAATACTTATAAGACTCACGACTATCGAATAGTACTTTTCTGCATTGTAAATAAACGTAAAGCATAATACCAGTGTATTGCAAAATAAGAAGGAGAGATACAGCCAGGCCTTTACAAACTCAATTTCAAACAGATAGAGAAGTGTGTTTAGATTCATCATTAGAAGTGCAATACCAAGCAAATTGTATGTTCTGAAGTTTAGACTCTGAAAGATATAAGCACAGATAAATGTAATAAAAGTTATTAAGGTGCGCTCAACATGAGCAGTCTTGGCTTTCTTAGCTCTTCTATAGAATTTTTTCAGTCCACTGACTTTTGCCTGTGATGCAAGAAAGTCCATGGCAATGAGAACAATAATGGAAATAGCAAAGAGAAGGAGAACAGCTCCCCTTTCGCCAGCGACCTTAATAAAAGGCAATTCGGTGATGTATCTGAGAGAAGAAGCATATCTCGTGCTTTCAGTGATTGTAATTGTTGCAATGAGGCTTGAGACAAGAATGGCATGTCCTGTGAAGAGGTGGCCTAATTCCATTGGGGCTGGCAAGCAACTAAATGAATATAAGTGAATATTCTTCTATAAAGCTGTGATTACGTTAGTCTTTATGGTAAATTACTGTAAGAAATATATCTGGCTGGTACATATTTACAGGCATTAGCAAGGCTGAAAGATGGATGATTATATCACAGAGACGTAGAACCATAAAATAAAGTACCATTTTGATGTAGCACGTTCAGTTTTTATTTATTATTGCATGCTAATTATGACATTTTAATATTTCATCACAAAATATCAAAAACATTAATAAGAAAATGATAAGGTTTTGCTTAAGAAATTACAATGTGTGGATACTCAAAAAACAAGCAACATGGTGAATTTTATCCATAGAAGGTTTTGTTTTGTTCTAAAATACGTCTTTTTGTTCGAAATTTAATTTTAGAACGTATTTATTTGTAATTTTCAATAATTTAAGCTTATCTCACATAAATATCGAGGAAAGCACCATTCCATGAATTTCATGCATATATCGATGATCCTAAGCATCTTTGTTTTAATAGGGAGCACTCTTCAATGGACTTGCAATGACTGCATCCTGACAAAGAGTCAGGTACAAGCCAGTAATGAGTACCAGCCAGGTAAAGCTACTTCGTTTAACCTCCGCCAGATCATGGATGAGATGGCACGCTGTGGCATCCAAAGGGCCCAGGTCTCAGGATGGGATGCAGCAGATGGAATCTATGTAGTGTATCAGAACGGAGCAGTAGTCCCAGCACTCCCCTATGACCTACCTGAATATGCGGTGTATTTCAAAATGTGTGGCAACAATGTTGAAAAAATAGTGTTTGTACATGAAGTGTGTGATAAGAAGATAGTATATCCCATTTGCCCCTGTGCTCCATGTGAGTCTCCCTTCTTTAATCCTTGCCAAAATGAAGTGGTTTGTGTAAATCCAGTCTGTCAAAATGAAGTGGTTTATGTAAACCCAGTCTGTCAAAATAATGAGCCCCCCATCGTTGAATTTAACCCTGTCCTTATTGAAAATGAATTGATATGTGAAACCAGAGACTTTGACAGTTGGTGTCCTGAAGATGGATTTAGTTGTAATAGAACTGAGTGTAGGACCTTCCCAAAAGTATGCAAAAAAGTGTCCAAGCGCAGTGGACGTAGGAGAAAAGAGCTTGAAGTATATTCAAAACAGTATCATCTCACTTGTAAAAGGATCGGTGGAGAAAGAAAAGTCCTTTTAATTGAAAAAGTAAAGGACAAAAAAGTGAGAGATACTGTCTATGTCTTAAACGGCAAGTTTCACTTACCCATTAAAATACTGAATGATCCTTGGCTTTTAAGGAGAATATTCAAAAAGATAAAACAGAAGTTTGGGCCAGGCTTCTGTCTTTATGTAAATGACCACTCATGTGTCTATGTACTTTTTAAAGAGCACCTTTATTGTGTAAAGTATGATAGTGAATGTATAAAAGTAAGAAGAGTCAATCCTAAGGACCGTTGCAAGATCGTCAAGAATGGGCTGTATCTTGTTACAATGGGTAATTAAATAATGTAAAGTACAAGAAGAGCATGTTCTATTTGCTTTTGCACTCATTTATACACTCTGTCATACACCTATTTATGTCTTTTTTGAACGGCATTTTGTTATTTATCTCAAATGAGGGTATTGCCCATTGTAATACATTCATTTATTTGGCTGAAAGAGAAGGGCTCTGTCCATCTCAGAGTAGACAATACTCATTCACGCTTTATTGTGTTAAGCATACTTCATAGTTTGTGATTGATGGAATACTGACTCGTCTATGCATGTTGATATCCTTTTCCAAAAATAATTTGGGGTAAAATTTTTACATCACCCCTTGAAAGCTGTACTGAAAACCACATCTTAATCCCACAGTGCCTTAGACCCATTACACTCATCCTTCTGGCTTTATTTGTTGTCTCCTCAGATTAATTTTAATATATCCCTTATTTGTTTGTTTGCAAAATAAATAAGATGTTCAAATACTTTTCCCCTTTGATTTAATATGCGAAATTTTGGCGCCAAAAAGTTTATAAACAATCAAAGCAATGAAGGTGCAAATAACATAGGTGTTCAAGGTGTAAGTATTAATGTTGGGGCAGAATATGGCGCTGTATGGGAGTACTGTGGTTCTAAAAATGAAAATTTTGACGCAAATGATCAGGTTAATCAAAATTTTGATCAAATCCATGATATACCAGAAAATGAACCATATACGACCGAGGATGCAGGTGAGGTTGAGATGAAGGGTATTTTGCAGTGTGATGTTAGCGATGGTCTACCGAACATCGATTGTAGTTGCGAAATTACTCAAGAATATCAGCATTCTCCCTCTACTAAGAATGAACAGTATCGGCATAATGAAAATAATCAGCATCATTCTACATATAATTTAATTTCCAAATCATGGAAGCTGGAAAAGCTTGATCATAGCTCGGTCGATAGCAATCCTATCATTAAACACATCCCTCAGGAACCTAAAGCAATCTTTAGCAAGAAGTTTATTGAAAATCCACTGGTTGATGAAAGGGTGCTCTATCAAAATAAGAGAGTTATACTATATAAGACGGAAATGTGTAGAAGCTTTAGCGAAGTAGGATTCTGTAAATATGGGGATAGATGTCAATTTTGCCATAGTCCTAGCGAGCTTAGAACAGTGAAAAGACACCCAAAGTATAAAACTGAGATATGCAAGACTTTTTGGAATGAGGGAAATTGTCCGTACGGCAGTAGGTGTTGTTTTATACATTTGGAGAAGGTTAGTAATAATATCGATAGTTTTAGTGATGGCAGCAGTGGTATATTTCTGCTGATCATTCTACTGGCAGTGTTTCAAATATATATAGAAGCACCCAGGCCAACATTAAACATACCAGTATTAACAATCATCAAAATAGCATAGTTGAGAAAGATGAAAGAAATGCATGCACCAATAGCACAGTCTCAGCACCGCATGCATATAAAACAGGTACTAAAAGTGGGAAAACCAAAGACTCCACAGTGAGACTATTTGATGATAATAAATGTACTCGAATCAATATTGAGCGGATAAACTTAGAAACGATTTCTGTGAAAGATGGCGTATCAAAAGAGGACCCAAACGATGAAGTTGAAATACTGAGCATTGTTAGCGAAGTAAAGGACTATATAATAGACAATGTTAATATTATCAAAAGCGTGTCAGATTGCTGTGGCTTAGGTGTTCCGTCTTTCTGTGAATACTACCTTCCAAGCCAAGATTCTTTTAGAAATGGCTGCTTCGAGAATGAACTTCACGAAAGGTATTTAAGGGATATTTTTAAATATGGGTCTACTCTGATCAAGACAGCCCGAGCATTAGAAATTGATGAAATGTTAGATCGAAACTATAAAATCAGCGCACATTCATCATGTAAGATTGACGGATATGATGGTGTCTTCAGTTCAGTTAAGAACATAAACGATATTAAAATTGAGAGAGAAAGTATATGGGCAAAGAATTTTATTAGAAAGTGGAAGGAGAACCCTGTGTTTTTTATTTTTGATAATAAATATGACAAAATCTAAATAAAAAGCAATGTTTTGTACAAAGAAATAGCCTCATAATCAATACTTCATTTTTAATATAATAACGGTAAGACGGTAGGTGCTGTGTTGTCATTTGCCTTTATGTAGAATTGGACATCCTTGTTGATTATTAAATGGGTAATGTAAAAGCACTAAACACGGATGCTGGCAAATTCTTTTATTGAACTTCTAACGAACAATGCCCTCGGCTGTTTTGGTTAAAATGTGCTTTCCCCCAACCTTGACTTTGGTATTTTTAAATACCAGGCAATGATCAACTATCATAAACTTAGAAAGAACATTTCTAAATGCATTCTTGCTCAAGTCCACCTTGCCATACTCAATATTATCAAAAATTGTTAGGTGATCTTCTAACTCAATTTTGCTACCTTCTTCTACGTCAACCCTCAAAGCCTCAATCCTGTCACCCTCAGCACAACATATCATACCTTCACTTTCCAGATCCCTGAACTTGGCTTTTTTAATATTTAAAACAAAGAGGTAGGTGTTGTTCAATAGTTCTTCCTTCTCATAGACATTCCTCAGTCCAGAGCATATGAAATAGTCTTTGTCCGCCCTTACATTTTCACAATACAGTTTGTCCAATCCTTCTGCATTCTGTATTGATGTAATTTTGCCTGCTCTTATTTCAAGCATATAAAATTCAGGATCAAAATCAATCCCTTTATCAGCTAACAACTTTGTGAACTGATCAATAACATCTTTGTTTTTAAGAGAGCCACTGGCAAGCAGAGCTTTGACAGTGTTGATATAGCAGAGAATATTCATCAATGAGAACTCCATTTGTGGCATTCGGGGAGACTTCCTAAGCCTTTTGAACTCATTCAACTTCTTTTGGGTGAATTCCTCGTTGTACAGCACGAATACTTGTTCAATAACTGAATCTAGGCTTTCAAAGAAACTGTCGGTTCGTAGAGAAAGCCTATCACTTTTTGAAAAATATGGCTGTTTGATCTAAGCAGTAAATTATGAACTTTAAATCATCATCTTCTTTGGTGTAGTTTAGGATTATTGTGGGCATGTTTCAAGGGTGCAGAAAGTATGTTAGAGTAAAAAATATGCCACAAAATGTGCTTCTAAGCGAAAGAAGGGGAAATGGCTATTCAACCTGCTTATTTCACAATAAACCATTTATCCGATGGTCTAAGCACCGTTATTGTCTTTTAAATCGTACAGTTTGATTTTCTGCTACCCCATGGACAAGCCTCCAAAAATTACTGAGGAATCCCAGATAGACGATTTAAGTACGGATGAGTTGAGACAGGTTATGGAATTTTACACTGAAAGTGAAAAGGAGGAATTCATACAGCCGTTAATATCCTCCAATGAGGCCTTAAGAAGAAAAATAGCTGAAAATGAAATACAAATACGAAATGAGCAGAGTATAAACAATGTTTTCCTAAGAAAGATGTGGAAAGCGTTGGATGAAGAGGAAAAGCATGAGAGTGCTTCATTTTTCAAGGGGATTTGTGAAAGAATCAATAAAAAGATATAGCACAGGGAATGTACTTTAACAGTGTATTAAGATAGGCCTTACATTAAAACTTTGTCTTACGGTACGTAGAGCTCCTTTTGCAATATGCTTTCCGTAGTTTTTATTTTTCTTTATATTTTATGCCATGGAAACAGTTAAATTCAAGCCAGACTTGGAAAGTATTAAAGAAAGATCAAAGATCGTTCCTTTCGGAAGAGCAGGTAAGGAACAGGCCACAGAAGCGATGCCTATTCCCTTTATACTTTACAATACTGAACAGGAGATCAAGATTGAAACTGAAGAATCGTCTGTGTATAGGCCATCAACAATCTTCCAGCCATCGATGATGAGCAGAGTTCAGAGTGAAGTCTCAGTGAAAATAACCAATGTTCCCATACATGTGACACAGTCACAGCTTGTTGAGGCAATTTTCCAGAGGTTTAAAGATGAGCAGCCAGGGCAGAGCGTTTTAAGACCCTACACAAGATTAAACCTTATTTTTGATAAAGAAAAGAAAGCTTCCAGAGGATTTGCGTATGCAAATTGCGAGAATTTGGAGAAAGCCAGGGAATTGGCTAGGATTGTCAGAAGTATTGTTATAGATGCATGTGTTTTAGGAGCTGAAATATTAGAATAGTAAATACAATCAACTAACCTAATTTAAGATCTGATGTCTTAGGTACACGTTTTAATAGTTAATATTGTGTAAAATCTAGCACCAAAAATATTCAATATAGATTTTAGAAAAATAACTTATAGTCTTATTTATTGAGCCAGTGCAGACAGAAAATCAAGCAATCCATCAACATCCTCAATGCAGAAATTGGCATGCGACTCCCCCTCTCCTATCTTAATTGAGATGCCTTTGCACACCCTGAACATGTCCTCGTCTGTCCGGTCATCGCCCACGCAAATAGCAGGGTCGAGCATTCTACAGACATTGTCTTTTCTAGCTGCCTTTAACTCAACTATCATCTTTCCTAGCTGAACATTCTCTTCCCCTACTTTCCTCAAGAGTGAGTAAAGCTTACCAACACAGAAGCTCCTGGCCATTCGATAATGAAAACACAGTCCGGAAGTTTTCTCTTCAATCACTGTGCCCGGGGTTCTTTTGGAATAGTATTCCATGATTTCACGTGCTACTCCAAGTATGTTGTTTTTTTCTCTTATAGTCGACCACTCACCGTTTACTCTTTGGAATGCCCCATGCTCTGCATAAACCTCGATCTCCTTTGGAATCCACTCATCCAACTTTGCCTTTGATCTTCCTGAGCATATGACTACCCTGCCTGCTTTGGACAGGTTCATGAGAATCTCCTTGGCCCTTGCGCTGAGCACGGCCTTGTCGGGATCTTCAACTATCGGTGTTAGGGTGCCGTCGTAGTCTAATAGGATTGTTTTGCTAGACTTCTCCCAGAGCATTTTGGCTTGTTCTGCATTCAGCGGTTCTGGTATCTTCATTCTCCTCTTGCTCTTGAGATCGAAGTAGCTGTTTTCACCAAATATTATTGGATGGTACGATTCTTTGTGTTCGGCGGGTAGTTTTGATCCTCTTTTCATATACACCCCATTTTCAGTGCCTCCTATTATTTTTTTGTAATACTCGATTTCAGATTGGAGCTTGGGTGGTCTGCAGATCAACGCACAGATTTCTTTAGAGAGTCTGTCAATTGTTCCATCCTCACCTGGGAGCTGGCTTAGTACTATTTTGTATCCATTTACCTCCATGAACTCTTTCAGATACTCCTCTTCGCCTATCACTGAGTACTTCTTGGGTGTGTACATTGCCTTTTCTATCTCGTCTGCAAGCTCGAATGGGTCATAGCTGTCCACCACCACAGGCCTCCCAAACAGCTGGGCAATCTCTCTGTATTGTGTTCCCACAAAAGCATCACAGAAGAACATCTCTGCCACGACGTGGGAGTACTCAACAGGGTCAGCAACAGAAAAGCTACTGCTGTACATCTTTTTGAGGTATTGAGCCATTCTGGATGTCTCCTCGTTCAGATCTACACCAGTCCTGAGATACCTCACGTGGATGTGTGGATGCTTCACAATAAATGGCTCAATGTGAATCAGATTCACATCGGTAAGAACACACATCCTGGTCTTTGGCACTTCCAAGTCATGCAGGTACCTTAGCAGTTCGTAATTGAATCTGTCCGGGAAGTTGCTTTCGACCAAACAGGCTGGATCTCTAGTCTTCTGGATGCACAGCTCCAGGATATGCTCCAGCGTGTCTATGACTGCAAACTTGTCTACATACGGCTTCAGGTACCAGCACCCGCCCCTTTCCACGTCCCGCATCTCGTATGAGCACATCATGTAGTTGGCAAAGGAGTCCAGGCTTTCCTTGCAGTCGAAGAACTTCTGAGCCAGGGCTAGGTTTTTGAGAATATGTCTGTAGAACGGGACCTTCTCTATGAAGCAGCCCTCAAACTTCAGATTCCTGAAAGCAACCCTGGCCCTTGTCATGCCCGGAAGCAAAAAAAGCGAGGAGTCGTTGACAACAATCAGATCGTCTTCAGTGACGACGTCCCTTAGTTTCTCGTAGAACTGTTCATTAAATAGCCTGTACTCTTCAAAGACATTGTGGTGGTCTAGGTCTTCAAACATTGTCTCGAAGATTTCTCTATTCATTAATCTGTCATATATCCTTGCCAGTCTTAGGTTTTCAGTTACATCAAGGTACTCTATGTTATCAACCGAGGTAAATTCTCTTTTCACAATAGCCCTTGGTTCTGTGAATTTAACTTTTATTTTTGAAGATTTATGTAGCGTAGGTTTGTCCTTGAGAAGGTCTATTTGAGTGCTCTTCACACAGTAAAATACTTTCATTAAGGGGTTTGAATATTTTGAATAAATACAGTATAAAGAACCAATGGCAGACTAGATATTAAATATTTGCTAGCAATGCGAAATGTGAGGCAAACAAAGGTATAGAACGACAAGACAGTGATAAAGATATAGCTGTTTAATTTTAATGATTGTTGTAGAGCCAAGCCTTTGTAGGGATCAAGTTGATTGTGGTGGAGGACTTAAAATATAGGTAGTAAACTAGCTTTGAGGATAGATTGCAGTCTTCCTCTGGAGACAGGTCAGCGAGTTTGGCATTCAGTAGCTTCTGCTCTATTATATCTTGATAGACAGGGTGCTTGCTAACCTATAGCCATGGCTTCAGTATTCGTGTGTTTCCAAGGACAGCGAAATGGAGTTTGAGATATCTGCAGTTGCTTTGATAAGTCCAAGCTCATGGAATGCCAGGCTATGCAAGTGGTGGCTTCACAAAACCAGCGTATTCTCTGCCAATGAACACTTTAAGTCCAGCTTTGAGTGTAGTGTTGGGCATGACTCTTCTATTTCGAGTGAATAGACAAAGTAACCGGCGTACATATAAGTGCGTGTTTGTCAGTGTCTAAGAATCATATGATGGCATTCAATAGTAACAGCTCAAGGGACATTAGTGTAGAGATAAAGATTGAAGAGAGTATATGAATAAAAGTGTTTTAAATCAGTATTAAAGACGAATTTAATCAGCTCTTGACATCAGACTCATTCTCACTCTCTAAATCTTTCTCAATAAGCTCGATATCTACTTTGTCTAGTTTCTTTTTCATATTACTAAACGGATAGCGTAAACGTGTCTTGTCCATACTTATTAAGATGGATTTATTTGTGAAAACTTTTGTAATGCTTATATTAACCTTTGATATAGGATTTCCATACAAGTCCAGGTGCCTCAAACCTATCATGGGTTTGTACTTCCTTGTCTTATCATCAAAATAGTTTTGAAGACTGATGTGTTCAATTCGATTATTATCCAAGCACATGTATTCAAGACCAGTGAGTTCAGATAGGCATGGTATCTCTGTCAATCCAACACCAGTCAACAACAATGTTGTTATCTTACTGAGATCTGAACTGTTCAATGCAGCAATGTCAATAGTGTTTCTGATATGCTCAATTCATCAGTTTCAAGGTATTCAGTCAAGAACTTCAATGCCTTGGTCGGAATATGATCAAATTCAAAACCTGATACTTCAATCCTTTTAAATTTAGATTCCCACTCTTTGAAGCTAATTTCGAAATATCCCTCTGCTTGTTGAGCTATTTTTTCTTTAAGACTACCATCTTCGTTTAGGATTTCGTCTTTACTTAAACATCCACTCATCGTTTCAGTGCAATAATTATACAGCTTCATTCCCACAATTTCGTTAATCTCATTTATATTCTTTTCATACTCCTCACGTTGGATATGATTCAGATTTTTAAAGTACTCTTCGATTATTTTAATAATTCTAGAATCCTTCATAAAAGCAGTAAAACAGCCATCATCTTTGTCCTTAAAAACACTGAGCTTGGGAGTTTCATTGGGTAAGGTGTCGTCGGATTCATCATCAGAGATATGAATACTTTGAACCTGCTCTTCTAAAGACCCTTGCTCTTTACTCATTACGGTGCAACTAGCATCTGCGGAGAATAGCATAGGAAATCCAACCGACAGTACTTCGATCAGGCCAGTTACAGTTTTAATTGGTAGTGATAAACCGTGCATGGGTGTGAATACAAAACTTGTATTTATACTTTTTACAAAAATCTGATTGATTTAATTTATCAGTTGATTTTTTTAGTATGACAGGGAATGTTCAAGAAACAGTCTCAGCCAAAATATAGCCAGTAGGTCTGCGCACAAACCACCTACATTCTCAGAATATTCATGCTTTTTCTATTGCCTTTATTCAAATATGCCTGTACGTATGTGATAAGACAGTATGTGATAGATTGGTCTCAATCCAAGTAGCAAATAGAATTGTTAATTAGAAAAGTTTGTCCAGGAGACTGGACTTGATCGGTAAGCTTGAGAATGCTCAAGATTTCATATGCACTACTGTCCGTGATCTGATATTGAGACAGATTCAGATGCAACAGCAATGACTAAGCTGATGTGCATAGTAACTGCATGGCTATTAATGGACTGGACAGACAAATGGTTTGATGACACTAGTGCAGAATAGTACAGCACATTCAAAGCCACTAATGATTTCTAGGCAATGATGCAACAAGTGAGATACATCTCATTCTGGATTTGTTAGCAATGTGCATTGTTCCTCTGTAATAAGTATAGATGCACTCTACTCCATATTCTTTTCCATGTCCTTAACAATGCAGCAGTCTCTCTGCCAGCATCATCAAAGTGAATATTCAAGGCCACCTATTTACAGCAACAGCTGGTTTTCATATATATCAATTATGCATGGATGGAGGATGAAATTGTGTTTGTGTCCGGAATAAAAAGCTATACACGATTACTGTGACGGGTAGTGCAATTCATATGCTATTAGAGTTATATTTAGTTAAATATGGTAGGGTAGAGACTAAAAGACTTGTCAAGTATAGGAGAGTATATCGAAGGAAGCTTCTTGAGTCTACACCGATAGGGTCTCTGTGGAGTCCACCCCTCTTCGCTAGTCTTCTGGCTTTGAGTAAATAAGTTGACAGTAGTCAGAGACTGAGTCAAAGAAAAGTAGGCTAATACAACCCATAAAGTAAAAAATAGTATTGAAACATACTCCATTCTTAAGCTTATATTATACTATACTGTTTTAAAAAACAAATTTAATCAGTTGCTAACTTCTGATTGTTTTACTTCTTGCCCAGTAGATGAATCAATGAACTTAATTCCCGAACCTTTCAGTTTCTTTTTCATACTGTCATAGGTACAAAATATAACTACATTAGACAGATGTATTATTGCAGAGCTGTCGGTAAACACCTGCAAGACGTTCGAATTGACACATCCTATTGGATTTTTATGCAGCTTCAGATCTGCCAACTTTGGCATTGTCTTGAAATCATTTCTTTCCTGGTCGTAATAATTTTTAGCTTCAAGCGTTTCAATATTATTGCCTTCCAAATCAAGACGCTGAAGATTGGTAAAGTTAGATAGACAGGGTAGACTTGTCAAGCCATTATAACATAGCTTTACTGTCTTTATTTTATCCAAGTTGACACTATTCAACACATCAACATTAACGTTAGTTGTTCCAGATAAGCTTAAAATTTTCGTTCTACAATAATCATTGAAAAACTTAAAAACTTCGACAGGGGTGGTTTTGAATCGGACACCATCCAACTTAATTTCTTCAAGTAACGATATGGATGAACCCATCATGAGCTCTTGCATTTTCCCTTTAATTACAGCAGCATCACCTCTTTTTAGAACTTCATCTTCAATTTCAGGATTGCAATTGCACAGGTGCATAACCACAACCTCCCAAATCTCGTCCCTGTGAGCTTGATATTCATCAAGACGTGTTAGTTTTATTTTCTCAAAGTACTCATTGAAAACCTCCGAGACTTCAGGATAGCCCATTAACTTAGTAAGAAAGCCATTGTCGTCCTTAAAAACTTTGAGTGTTTCTGAGTCTGAAGACTTAGATGAATCCTCATCTTTCTTTTGAGTATTGGACTGGCCATTTTCAGCAACGTCTTTGGAAGAGTCTTTGTCTTGTACTTCTGGCTTTTTTACATCGCATTCATGCGTAGAGGTACAACCAACATTTATGGGAAATAGCATAGGAAATCCTATCGATAATACTCTCATAAGACTGAGAGCTGTTCTGCTTGACAGTGACAAACCGTGCATGGGTGTGGGTGCAAATTTTGTATTTATACTTTTTACAAAAAGCTAATCAATTTAATTTATCAGCATGTGCTATTTTAAAATCAAGAATCAGATAATGACTAAGTCTTGGTGGAAATTGGCATGTAATGCCTCCCACCTGTGTACAATTCATGCCTCTGCCAGGTTGGCTTCTGAGTTGTATCTAAAGACTTGACGGCCTGTTCATTCTTTACTTTTAATACCAACTTGTTCATGGCTGGTGGTGGCATGAGATTCTGCATGAAACTGCTCATAGGTCGATTCTGGATTACCTGTCAAGTATCAAGAAAAATTTTACTGACTGAAAGTCTCCATTTAACAGCTAAGCATGAAATCAACGGGGCCTAGACTCGTACTCGTGTGTCTGTGATGTATGCAATGCAATTTATGACTAAAGTTTAAATTTTGATGGATTTTAACTAATTTTAAAGATTCCAGAAATTATACCCAAATGATAAACAGTATTGCATAAAAGCTAGTTATAGAATGTTCGTTCTAGCATTGCACGTCTTGGACCATTTTAATAAGCATGTCCATTAATGATTGATGATTATACTTTTATGGAAATGATTAAATTAAAGATTTAATTTAAGCTTATCCAGCCATCAATTCATCTTCTTGTTTTAAAGATAGCTTAATGTGTGTGTCTTTCAGACTCTTTTTCATACTGTCGCATGTACAATAGAATTCTGTTTCGTTCAAGCATATTTTTGTAGTTCCACTGATAAATACCTTTGTGATTTCCACATCAATACTAGATGTGGAGTTCCATAATAAGCTTATTTCTTCTAACCTTGGCATTGTTCTGTATGCACCTGTCTCTTCATCAAAATAATTTCCAGGCTCAAATGCCACAATCATATTATGATCTAAATAGAGATGCCTAAGGTTTTTAAAACTAGACAAGCAAGGAAATTGTGTTAATTCCATTTCAGACAAGTCTAATTCTTCGATATTGTTGAGATTGGCACTATTCAACATGTCAATATTAATATTCGTTTTTGAAAAATCGAAACATTCTGTTCCACATTCATCATTAAAAAATTTTAAAACTCTGACAGGAGTGTATCTCATTTTAAAGCCGTGCATCATGACTTTTTTGAAATCATAATTAAGCATATTACATTCAAGCTCTCGAATCGTTTCATCCGTAGGAGTATCGTTGTATTTGTCGAGATCCGATTGCAATTGAAGACATGTATTATACATGTGCAAAGCAAAAATTTCATGGATCTCGTCCTGATACTCTTGGTAGTCTTTTAGATTAATCAGTTTTGAATTTTGTAAACGTCTGTTGATGATGTCAATAACTTTAAGGTGATTCAAGAAAGCCATGAAGACATCATTTTCATCAATGAAAATCTTTGGTTCAGTCTTTGGATGGAAAGAGCTTAGTGGATTG